AGTCTCAAAACTGAAAGGAGACTAGTGTAGCTAAACCTAAAGTAGAGACAGTATGGAAGAAGGAGTGGGCAGACCAAGTAGAACCTTGTTGGGCTTGTTGAGAATTGTAGTTTGACATTAAAGAGTTTTTAAGCAGAGAAATGATATAATCAATGTTGTTTTAAGAGCATTCTGCCTTTTGTGTAGAAAGTGAATAGGGAGGTTAGAGAAGGCAAATGATGATTTGAGGAGATCAATCAGGAGATTATTACAGTAGGCAATGTAAGAACATTACATTGACAGTAGTTTTGGCAAGTGATGGTGGAAGAAATTGAAAGAAGTAGATTAACTTGAGAAATACTTCAGTTAGTTGTAAACTTACCAGACTGGATACTGGAGGAAGGAAAGAAAGTTTTATAATAGCATACTCTTAAGCTTCTGGTTTGAATAATTGGATGAATAGTGAGAGTATTCTTTGGATAGGAAACACTGGGGGAAGAAGGAACTATCACAAATTAGATATTAGATACATTTAATTTGAACTCTTTATGATATGCAGATGTTAGTTAGGCCCTGGACACATGAAAGTGGAACTCAAAGGAGAAGCCTGGGTGGAAGATGTAAGCTGAGAAGTCTTTGGTGTTGTATGAATAAGTCAGGGAAGCAGAACCAATGAGATAGACATAGACAGGTGATGATAAATGATAGGTAGATAAATAGACAGATAGATAGATATGATAGATGGATAGGTAGATGATAGATAGATAGATAGATAGATGATAGATAGATAGATAGAAAGTCAAGATTTATTATGGGAATTGGTTCATGTAACTATGAAGTAAGGCTTAGAAATTCCACACATGCCATCTGCAAACTGGAGAACCAAGGCAGTTCCTGGAGTAATTCAATCTGAGGCTGAAAGCCTGAGAATCTGGGATCTCAAGGTCTGTGAACCAGGAACTCCAATGTCCAATGGCAAAGGATGGATGTCCCAATCAAGGAGAGAGTGAATTTGCCCTTCCTCCATGTTTTTGTTCCCTTCAGGGCCTCGGCACATTGATTGATGCTGGTCCACATGACGTTTCATACTCACTTTATCAAATCAAATGTTAATCTCTTCCACACCCTCACAGACACACTCAGAAATGATGTCTGACCAGCTTTCTGGCCATCCTTAGCCCAATCAAGTAGATGGTATATGAAGTCTTAAAAGTAGGTTGAAAAAAGGGGACTTAGAATCTAGTCTTGGAAATCAAGCAATGAAACTCCCAACAAAATGATAGCTATCATAATGTCTGAGAAATCCGAGCCCTAACTGACTAAGCTAACCACTACACTCCTTCTTCATAAATATGAACAGACAACCTAGGATTGCAGGAATATAAGGAAAACCCACAGCAGGAAAGAGAAGGAACAAGATGAGCAAACAGACTAACCACCTTCAAAAGATACACAGAATTTAGAGAATGAAAGAACTTCTGAAAACCTCCAATCAATATCTTTAGAAAGATCTGGAAAAAATATTGCATCTATAAAACAAAACAACAGTAGTGAAAAAAAAGTGATATGAAGAAAAAGAAAGAGGATAAGAAAACATGAAAATTAAAAACATGACTGAGAAAAATAGTTAATCAAATAGTTAGGTAGAGAAGAAAAATGGATATAGCTGAAAATTTAGTGTGTTATTTTGGATATGACATTAGGTAATTATCCCTGAACATGGTCATTAAGATAAGGGGATGGAAGATACAAGTGTTCTTCTACTTAAGAAGGGGCTACATAGTGGTAAACCCATTGTAAGTTGAAAATATTAAATCAAGGATTCATTTAATACACTTAACCCACTGTGCTAGTCAGTTTTGATTACTGTGACAAAACACCTGAGATAATCAACTTAAAGGAGGAAAGGTTTATTTTTGCACACAGTTTCAGAAGTTCAGTCCATGGTTGTTTGACCCTGTTCCTTTGGCCCTGTGCTGGCACAGTTTAGCATGGTTGTAGCGTGTGGCAGAGGAGACCTATTTACTTTGTTGTGTCCAGGAAATAAAAAGAAAGGAACAGTCTGGGGTCCCAGTATGCCCTTCAAGGGCATGCTTCCAATGACCTAACATCTTTCCACTAGGCCCTACCTCCTAAATAGTCTACCACTTCCCAGTAGTGCCAGACACTAAGGACTAAACCTTCAACACACAGGGTCCTTTGGCAAATACTCATGATATGAATTATAGCCCCTATTAAACATTATCATTAATCAACACAGTACACTGTAGAGCCATCAGAAAAGTTGTTAACTTGAACCTTTGTTAAGTCAGGGAGCATTTGCAAAAGGGAAGTTTATCAGTATGGATGAAGAGGTCCAATACCTGTCTAAAAAGTTTTTTGAAGACTTAATGTAGAGAAAGTAGTAGTGTTTTTTTAAAATAGTAGAACATTTTTCTGATCTGAAGAAAGCCACAGGTTTTTTATTGACTTTTTTCTCCATATGCTGAATGAGATGAATTTTAAAGGTTATTCACATTTCAGATAAGGGTATAGAGAAAACCCTTTGGTAAATAATATGTTACCTACAAAGAAATGAGAGCCAGACTCACCAGTTGAAGGTAGAAGTCAAGTGAAAAAATATCTTTGACCTTGTGGAAGGAAAATGACTCTGAATCTAAAATTTGAACAATCAATGAAGTCTGAAGGCAAAATAAAAACATTTTCCAATTTGAAACAACTCAGAAATTCTGCTGTGTGAGAGTTATTCAAGTTGATACTTCATCACAATGCAAAATGAAGAAGGAAGATAAACAAGCATTCAAGAATTTGTCAACTAAACAACATGCAGAGGTTGGAGGGGGAGCCATTCAGAAAGTAAAAAAGCACAGAAAAATTGCTTCCAGAATTTTGGTAATCTAGGTTGTATTTCAATTATTATGTACTCTTCTTTGGGACATGTATCAACACAAATTATAACATAAGTGCTGATTTTTTTTGTTTTCTGATGAAAACATTATGGTTCTCAACATTGTATTTTATTAATTAAAATATTAGGAATGTGAGGGAAGGATAGAAGCATGTCAGTTTCCTTGTCTTTCATAGATACTAGTCTAGAGTTAATGAGCCAGGTCAGGGAAGTTTTAATGAATTGTTTAAATTTAGATGGCTAAAGTTAAATGAAGAACTAAAAACAGAAATTGTAATTAGTGGGTGTTACTGGGAAGTGAGACTGTTGATAGGTAAGGGAAATGTTTGTACTCATTTGAGTTTCTATTTTTTTTTCTTTTAAGCTTTACATGTCTTCTATTCTCAAGTTTCATTCTGTTTTTGTTTTGTGTTGTTTTGTTTTGGCAGTACTGGGGTTTGAACTCAGGGCTTCATGCTTGTTAGGCAGGTGCATTTACCCCTTGAGCCACTCCACCAGTCCTTATGTCTTCTATTCTCTCTGGTAGCTTTTAAGCTTCTTTGCTTTGCTTCTACATTATGTACTTAGACTGCCGAGTGCTTATGTCTAGATTCATTTTTTATTCTTCCTACTTGAAAAGCCATGTACTTTTCTTAAATTCTGAGAATTATTATCTTTTCAATTCTGGACAATTCTTTGCCATTATTTCTTTCTTATTTTGTCCTTGCCTAGTCTCACAACTCTGTCATACTAGAATGACTTGTTACTCTATGCTTAAATGTCTTATTCCTTTTTTTTTAAACTCATATCTCTTCTCTTTTACATTTTCTTCCTTTATCTCTTTGTGCTATTATGTGAGTGATTTCCACAGATCTGTCTTCCAGTTTCATAATTCTTCCTTCAGCTGGTTGACTTTTCTTTATTTCAGTGACTGTGTTTTTAAAGAATTCTTTTTTGGGCTCTTTTACAAAGTAACTTTTCTTCTTTTACAATGTATTTACTCTATGGACATTATTTTCTACCTTCCTTCTATTCTTCCATTCTTTTTTCATTCTTTCTATCCCTCCTCTCTCTTTCCTTCCTCCCTTTCTTCCTTCATTTTTGTTGTTACTGCTATTTAGTGTGTGTGTGGGCGGGTGAGAAGGGTCTCACAGTGGAGTTCAGGCTGGCCTGGAACTTTTCATCCTACTGCCTCCACTCCCAATTGTCACCACCCCCAGCCTGCTATTTTCCCCTTCTGAGTTTTTATTATGTTTTATTATATTAATTTTAAAGTCTCCTTTAAATTGCTTCATTATTTGTGAATCATTTCTTGTGCCTACTGACATTAAGACTAGTGAGTTTCCATGTGTGTTTTGTAACATCTGTAATTTGGAGTTGTGAATCCATCTCACATGTGTGCTGCCTTCCATGGGTGTACTGCCAGGGCACGAGACTGTGAAGGAAGGCATTCCCATGTGGAAGCTCCATGTTTATAAGGGGATTATGGATTTTGTAAGTTCTGGAGGAATTTTTACTCTAGTTTCTCTGCTTAGGATTTCCTTATCAAATGAGTAATGCACATTTTAGAACCTTTCCTGTTGAGAGTGATCATGTTTCTCCCAATATAATGGTTCAGAAATAATTGAATGAATCTAATTATAAAAATTTCAGAGATTCTGTTGGCAAAATATAATGGATTCATGGACTCATAGTATTTTTAAAAAACATAAAGATAGTCCAACCCTTGTCACTTTAAAATTGAGAAAAATGAGGTTCAAAAAAGTTGATGGACTTGTGCTGAGGTCAAATGAGGTAAAGACAGAGCAGTATCTCTCTGTTGTTAAAATAAACTTTATTGTCAAACTAATCACATCATTGGTTGGTATAAGTGGTGACATGTGATCATTCAGAGGTAGGTAAATCTATACTGCCTTTTGTTCCAATTCGTAACTCTGACTTCGGGATCCAGATGCCGAGAATGTGTCCTCCTAACCTTGACCCTAGCCTGGGTTGCCAGTTGCCAGGACTTTTTAATTCTTTCATGCACAATTAGATTAAAGCATTAATTTTCTTTCCAGTTACTGCTACTAAAGAAACCTTGTAGATCTTCCTTTGCCAACAGTTTACTTTTGTCTTTTCTTTTAGATCATGCAAAGTTTGCTTACAAATACATTTTCATGAAGACTTCTGCCACTTCTTAGAATTTCCTTTTCTTACCATGGTGATTAGCAAGGTAACTGTTGGGTTTGTTCTGCATAGGCACTTTAGATATCTACTGCTTTGATTTTTCTTTTATGCCCGCATAGTTTGGTTTTTGTTTTAGGTAAAGGAAACACCCAGGACATATTTTAGTAAAGTTTCCAGAAGTTTATTTTTCATATTTTACAAAATGCATTCACAAAGCAGGTAATTCAGATTCATCTAATTTAAAGAAAATTATGATGTGTTTTGTGCTCTGTTTGCAGAACAGGGTGTTCTGAACATCAACAAAAAGTGGAAGAACTTTAAGCCGAAGGTACAGTATATTATTTACACTGAAGGAGCTCTTGTGTGGACAAGAAAGCGCTGACAGGTCAAATGGATCCCATGGAACTGAGAAATGTCAACATCGAACCCGATGATGAAAGCAGCAGTGGAGAAAGTATTCAAGATAGCTACCTGGGAATGGGAAATTCAGAAAAGGCAGCAATGAGCAGGTATGGGGTGAAAAACTACCAGGCTCCATGGAAAACAGAGACAGGCTATGGATAGTGAAAACAAGGGTCTTGTTGGGAAGAATTAGATTTTTTTTTTTTTTACAAATAAATTTGAGATAACAATAACACTGATGTTAACACATCAATTCCCTAGTCCTGAAATATGTAGTAACGTCCATTTTGTGCAACTAATTTAGATTTGAGGTTACAACATCCTGGTCTTAACTGTGTACACTATAGTTCAATTACTTAGCCTCTTGCCTTTTCTACTATTCCTTCTCAGATTCTTCTTCCTTTGACTGCACTATGAATGTTGCTACATCTCTAGGGTTCTGTAGCAATTCTTTTGCTCAAGGTCATCCATAATTATCATAGGGTCACCCACAATATAGGACATATGCTATATTAGCCTGTTAAAGTTCTCAACTGAGATTCAGATCACAATATCTAACTGTCTACAGAACAATTAATCGCTACAGGAAAACTAAGGTGTCTGAATTGCCTCATTTCTAAAGTGACACTTATAATGTCTAATACCGAATTCCTGTCATTCCCTTCAAAGCCTGATCCTCCTCTAGTAATCCCTGTCCTAATAAAAAATCACCACTGTCTTTCAGCAACTCAGTCCAAATACCCTGGATGTCAACTTTGACTCATTCCTTCTCTCAAATCACACACACACAATGGTCATCTACACTCAGTTCTTTTGACCTTATTAATGTTTCAAACCCTCCAACTTCTGTTTCTCCATTCTATTGCCATCTTATTTTAGGTCCTCATTTTCTCTCACTTGTCTGTTAGAACAGCCCTTATTTGTCTATCTGTCTTGTATATTCCTTTCCTCTGTGTAGTCTCCCACACTTTTACAAAAATAATCTTTTATAATTACAAACAGAAGCATGTCCCATCATGGGGTAAAATCCTCTCATGACTGCATTAGCTGTGAGATACACATGAGGCTCTGCATTGCGTGGAATCCTTTGTGATCTGTCCCTGAACTACTTCTCCTGTCTAGTGTCTTGGTATAGTCCCTTCTTGTACTCTCTTGCCTCTACTCATTCTGCTCCACTGACCTGAAATCACCCACTTACTCTGCCTTTCTCTCCGTTAATACTCCTTTCCCTCCATGAACCAGCTCAGTATCAGGTTTCCTATGCAGCCTCTCCAAATGCCTCTATTCTGCCAGGTGGAAGTGATCACCCCTCTTTTGTGCTCCTTCTCCCAGTTCGGGAGTTAATCGCACCACAGGTTAATGGTCTCTGCTGTCTTGCATGTATCACACTGCCTGGTGCATATTAGGTGCACTGTAGTTACTTGGCAAGAAAGTTAATTTTCCATAAAATAATATATTGCACAAATTTGTGTATGATTAAAGACATTCAGAAGGGAATTTTTGACCAAATCTAGGTCTAAAGTAGGGAATATTATCTATAAACAAGGACTTCTCACTTGATTCACATTGTCCAGGAAGACCCTTCAGGCAGAAGTGTTCTTCCCCTAAGTAGTACAGTGCAGCGAACTTGAGGTTTGTTGGGGCAGAGAAGCTGTTTCTAAGTTGAGTGTTTCTAGAGGAAATACAGTGTGGTAGAACACAGGACATTGGAGTCTGCCAAGATCTTACTTGACTTTGGAAAAGATTTAGCTTCTTTGAGCTTCAGTGGACAAGGCAGAGTGGCAAGCCATCTACTTTTCAAGGATTAAGTGAGTACATGGACTATAGATGGTATTTAATACATTTTTGTTCTTTCTTCTCCACATCATCACCTTTAGTAAATTGATCCATATCTGAGGGCTCTTTTGATTCTGAAAGTAACACACACAATTATGAACTCTGCAGATGTTGGCTGAACTGAAGAGGTCACCATCCCAAGAATAGAGACCCAGAGTGAGTGATTCCATTTGGCCCTCAAAAAGCTGTAATGGAAAGAGCAACAATGCTTTCAAGTTTCATACAGTGACTTCTGAACCACTTACAATGGCTTACCTTGTAACTCTTGGCTCAAACACAAGTCATCATTTTGCAATTTTATAGTCACCTGAAAAAGATGGGTTTTGTTTATGTTTGATTTGTATTGAAACTTCAAACATAACTTTTTGAGAAAGTCAACAGATTGCATTTATTTGGAATCATTTTACTTATGTTCTCAATATCACACTGTATTTGATATCAAAACATTTAACATGCTGGGGACATTGCTCATTTATTTTATACAATCCTGCATGTTTTAGGGCTACAATACATTTCATGCCAAAATAACAGTATGCAAATACCTCAAAAAAAGATAATAAGCTTACTTTCAAATTCTAAATTTTAAAAATTACTCATGGAATAGTGATTTATTTATTGACTAAACTGAAAACAGAATGTTGGACATTCCTGAGTTTAAATTCTACTTTTAAGTGACAATGTTGTTCTGTAGTCCCCAGTTCATTTTATCCTATCGTCTCATTTTCCAGCTGTGAACATTGCATACTATCCTTGCATAGCAGACTACTATTATAAATCACAAAAAGGTGGCAGAGGGTGTAAAAATGAAGAAGGCAATGGCTGAGGGCATTGTGTTTCCCATGAGGAGTAGAGGGAGAGTGCCAGGAAATGCTTTCAACTTATATGCTCAGAGCCAGCTGTTCCTTGAGTTCTAGAAAAGTACATAAAACCAGCTTTGTCTGCTATTTCTACACATTGTAGCACTCTCTATTCTCAAAAAGTAACCCTTCTTTTTTCTTCATCACATTATTTTCAAAATTGGCTTCTATTATGAAAGATAATTTGCATAGATCTCCTATTATAATCCTTTCCCACTTTATTTCTAAGGGTTACTTCAATAAAACACTCTCAAATTATTTTGTCTTAGTCTTTAATGCAAGAAATGCCCTAAAAATTGCAATCTGTCTAATTAGAAAGCATTTAAGGAGCATACAGAGTTGAGCACACATGAAAAAAGCATACGTGCTATTTCGGTGGGTAAAAATGCAATGGTGGCAGCTGGCCTTGGTTAGTCAAGTCTTTTAGAAATATGGCTGGCCCTTGGTCCATAACCTCAGAGCTCCTAGCATGGGACTGCAAGAGCTGACCACCACAGTCACATTGTGACTAACTCGTGCAGCTTCTAACCTGTGCCCAAGCAGACCATAAACACAATATTCTGTGGCTAGCACCATTTTGAAGCCTCGTTTCCCATCCAACTCTTCTCCCTCCTCACTAGATTTCTTTTAGTTTCACCCATTATCTCATAATAACCTGGATATATTTTAGAGCAATTAGCACAATACGCATGCATATACAAATGCAAAAATAACCAAACATAACATAGAGCTACTATTGCACTATATTCTAATAAACAAATAAGAGGAAATACTGCTACTTAGGGAAGCCCAGAGATCTGGAGTCGGGTAGGTAGGCACATGCTCTTTTCACTTTTCTGAGCCACAGTTACCTCATCTTATGAGTAGGACCATGACAGTTCTTCTCATAGGGATATTCTCGGCATCAAATGAGGTGAGGACCAAACGTGCCTAAGCATTTAACAAATGTTCATTAAGTTAATAAAATCTTGGCTGGGGCATGGTTCAGTGGTAGAGTGCTTGCTTAGCATTGTTGAGGACTTGGGTTCAATTTCCAGCACCACAAGGATAAATAAATAGATAAATTTATTTTAATAAAATCACATGATTAAGACATGGAAGTAGTTTAGAAAACTCCGAGTCTATTCTGTACACTTTCTTTGGAAGGGCTCTAAGTGGGAACAAAATTAAGTACAATTAGTTTCTTCCTTGCATAGTTAATGTGGGAAAGAATAAAAATGGCATACACAAGTTTTTCACCTAAAAATAATATTTCCTTCATAACACCTTCTCTTCTTCCCCAAGTCTAGTCATAAATTGAGTTTAGGTGTTAGTCTGCAAGGAACACTGTTGTAAAGAAGAAGAAAGAAAGTTTTAGGTGTTTTTTTCCCCCCTAATTTAGTTTTGTCCCCTCCAATTCAATTTCTTAGATCACCTGACACATAAATCTAATTTAGAGCATTTACTTGCATGTTTTTACTTTCGTGTTTTCCTTTTGTGTGTGTGTATGTGTGTGTGTGTGCAGTCAATTTGCTAACGAAGATGCGGAAAGCCAGAAGTTCCTGACAAATGGATTTTTGGGGGAAAAGAAGCTGGCAGATTATGATGACGAACATGTAAGCGAGTCTCTGCTTTCAGGCAATAAACAGCTTTGAGAGTTTCATCTACCTTGACTCTGTGGGAAAACAATGTGACTGAAATTTTCCAAGCCTCGATCAGCAATTCTGTGTTTATTCAGGCCCTTACTGGAATAAGGGCTTGTTTTTCTTGTTCGCCATATGGCTGCATAAATCATTTATGAAATTTATTTGTTTTTTTGAGAAGTCATTCTAACCTAAATGTAATCTGTAATCATCCATGTTTCCCATCTTTGTTTTACTCCACCTGTATTTTTTTATTTTTACCGAGACTTGTGTTGAGGCTAAGCACCATAGTTCATTCTGTGAAAATTACATATTGTTATTAAACTTGAGTGATGATCAGTGGCTAAGGTCTTTGATTTTGGATTGCAGTCTCCTCCAGAACAGATAATTTGTGAAGAGAGGATTGATGCTGTGACAAATGTTTGCTTATAGAGCATCCCTTTTTTTGTTTCAAGCATCCTGGAACCACTTCCTTTGGAATGTCTTCATTCAACCTGAGCAATGCCATCATGGGCAGTGGAATTCTGGGCCTATCCTATGCCATGGCCAACACAGGCATCATACTTTTTATGTAAGTGAACATACATATCTACATTTGGTGATGAAGTCCATGCACAACCTGGTACTCATTCAATTACCAATCTGAGGTACGACATTTGTGAAGAATCAAAGAAAGAATTGAAGGATGTATCGGTGAATTCCTCCAGCTTAGCGAAAACTGCAGCCTGATACTTGCTCACCTAACCATCTCTAACCAAAGGGCAGAAATTTTATGTTTTCAACCACCCCAAATGCTTTAGCAGTTCATACAAAGGAAACATTTCGCAGAGGATGTCATTGCTTAATAGATGCTTAAAGTAATTTGTTGTTTAGAGGTCAAGAAGATCTTTCCCTGAATCAAATGTGACTGTAAAATATTCCTAGGGAAAATAGCCCACCTCAAACCAGACCTGAGAGCCCTGCACGCCCACTCCTTATGTCCCTTGCCACCAGGTGCATTGCTCACCATGCAATAAAGGTGCCATATTCCTTCTCACCACTGAGTCTTTATACTCGGAACTCTCTTTTTCTTCCTTCTTCATCTACTTAACCTTTTTAGATCTCAACTTCATGCTTCTTTCCCTGACCTCCATGACTGGGACAAATCTATTCTATACTCATTGCAGTTTTAATATTTTAGTTTGTTTGTCTGAGTCATGTGGTTTATGTCTATCTTCCTTGCTAAATTATAAAATTCGTAGAATGGAGTCCATGTTTCACCACATGTCTCATCTTCAAAACCTAGCATGCATAGGAAATATTTGCTGAGTGAAGCTTATTCTCAAACATGTGTGCTTTTCCCAAACTTGGTCAAATGCTGCCTAGACATAGCAGTCGCACATAGATGACCTCCAGGATGGATACTGCACCATCCAGGATGGACAACCACAGATGCTTGCAGGCATTACGTATGCCCTAGTATTTTCTAAGACACAGTCAGCAGCAGTGGAATTCTTCACAAGAATACAGTCTAATGATAGACATCACGTGTGCACAGACCCTGGTCCCAAATGTAATGCTCGTGAGTTAAATGTCTAAGCATGCACCATTTATGTTACAAATATATACTATTTATGTTCTGAACATCACAGATGATTAGGTAATCACACAGCCATTTGAGGGAAAAGGATCAGGACTATAAATATTCATCTTGTGTGAGTGCTTTGATTGAACTCTTATATATACTACTTTTTATTTGAAGGGGTTTTTATATCAACTTTATCTTTGTAAGCCTCATTTGAAATAAACTAGCTTTTTGTTATGTGAATCTTATGCTAGAAATGTACTCATAATTTTCATGCTTTTATAATGTGCACTACCGAAGACAAAAAGACTGTCTTCTCCTTATTAATTATGCATACCATTAAAATTAATCAAGAGGTCATGATAGATCAGTGATGAATAGAAATGAGAAACACTTGCCTCAGTCCCAGAGACACAGATCATTTCATGGAAAGAGACTATTTCATTTTTAAAACAAAGACGTATAAACATTTAGCAGATTAATTTGGCTAGAGCAATTAAATCACTAAACACAATAGGATGTGTTTTGTAGGTCCAAGTGGCATAGAATGGATTCAGTGTCTTCCTTAGTTCAAGTGACACATTATTCAATCAGTTTCACTTTTAGTATTTTCTGCCAAAGCAAGTCTAGAATATAAGGAACGCTTACTATTTTTCTATGCGACCTGAGATACATGATTCATTAAAAACAGGTAAGTTCACAAGGCATATGGGAAAAGGTGAATAAATCATTGATTAGTCAGTTCTGGGAGAAATATATTTTCTGGAAAAGAACAGCACAATATAGGTCAAGTAGTTATAAAATGTACAATTCACTTTGTAGCATTGATTTCATTGGGAATTACTACTGGAGCAGATAAATTGTGGTGAAAATGTAAGTGTATTCTCAACATGTAAAGTAAACAAAGGAAATTTTTTTCTTAATTTCAGGTAAAAGTTAGTAGTGTCCCTTCCTTTATTAAGCAGATGCTTCTATTCACACTCTTTGTTGTTTGTTTTTTGAGATAGGGTCTTGCTATGTAGTCCAGACTGGTCTTGAACTCACGATCCTCCTGCCTCAACTTCCTTAGAGCTGGGATTGCATGCATGTACCACCAGGCCTGGCTCTACTCACACTCTTATTTTTTTATGCTCTAATTCTTGGTTTTGGAAAATACTGATCAGTATACACATAAAGCAACCATGCATACATGTGGACACATAGAAGGTCCTGATGCCAGAAATGATTCTTTCAGAATAAAAAAAGAGGAGTTTTTTTTTTGCTCCCTATGCTTACCTTTCTTTGCATTCTCTCTTACACATGCATTTGTCTGACCCTCTTGTTGACAAACTTTAGGATTATAGTAATGGAGCACAGACTGCATGCTCTGGTTTCTGTATGCCCAGATTTTAGATTAAAATTTAGTCAGGCTCTTGAATAGCCCTCCAATTCCATTTATTGATGCAAATATTATGTGCATTTGTCTATGTGCTGAGTAAGTAGCATATTTGCTATTTTTGTTATACACCTAGCATCTCAGCTATAAAACAGACTCTACAACGGTGTAACCTTAAAATAAATATGTTAGGAACTTCAGATAGTAGGTTCAAACACATAAAATACAGAAAATTCTAGTGTGTGACATTAAAGGATATGTGTGTCATTCTGCTAAGAATTTCTCAGCATTCCCCAAATCAACACTCTTGAAAAGACAGATCATTTATTGTAACATCTAATATTACAATGTCGTATTTTTTATAGAAACTTTATTTTTCTACTCTCTGTTCCTTTACAGAATCTTGCTGCTCACGGTGGCAATCTTATCACTCTATTCAGTTCACCTTTTACTAAAGACAGCCAAGGAAGGAGGTATGCAACCCTTTAGGTCCATATCTTAAGATAAGAGAATATTTTTCTGTTTTCCTCCTTGTGAAAGTGCTTTTCAGTCTGTAAGGTTTCCTAATCTGAAGATGATTTTAGTCGGTTTCATACTTCATTTTCTTCTTCTGACTGCAGTGACATGGTCTGTCAAGATTTTTAGTTATTTGGGCAAGTGAGAGGCAAGGGTGAAAGCTGATTGGCTCAGGTTCAAATCAAATAGGAAAAAAATAGAGATTTCTGGTAGATGATAGAACTATTCTGACTTGCTAAGCACTGCTCAAGTAAATGGAGCAATAGTGCAGCTTCTTTAGACCATTTTAACACATTGCCTTTTGGTTTTTGAGGTTGCCTCTTTTGGGGTTTATTATTTCTACATGTTTATTTACATGGCTAGGAAGTCAATGTAGTACTACAGTTAATATTTTAGTCATTAACACAATCTTCTAACAAGATTATTTTATCTGTCATTGTAGGGTCTTTAATTTATGAAAAATTAGGGGAGAAGGCTTTTGGATGGCCTGGAAAAATTGGAGCCTTTTTTTCCATTACACTGCAGAACCTTGGAGGTAAGGGGACACGGCTTTCAATGGACCACTCGAACTTTCTATAGAATGTTCAATAAACAGGAAAACTCTCATAGCAGCAAATAAACACTTCCAGTCCAAAAGAACAGCTGCTTTGTTGTTCTTAAATTTCAGAAATAAAATTTCTTAAGAGATTTGCTATCCCTCTTTAATTAAAAACAGCAATATCCGACCACAAAGCCCTGAGTTCAAACCCCAGCCCCACCAAAATAAAATAAAATAACAACCCAGCAATATGAACTCTGGAATTGAAATACAGATCGAAATCTTGCTTAATTTCTAATGCTTTTGTGGTGTTAATTATCACTTTTAAAAATTAAAGCATGAGTGCCTCCATTTCTCATTGCCAGAACAGCTGATGTCCCATATGTATGACTGAGTTCATTTCATAAGATTGAAGAGTCATTATGGGGTGGCAGTTGGTACAGCCAAGTTTATGGCTAGTGAGGCACAGCCCCCACTGAGCGAGGCCACTGGAGAGAGTCTGGAAAAGTTGTAGCAAGACAAACATCTACAGCTAGGCATCAGAAGCACTGAAACCAAGGATTCCTTGGTTCTATAAATTCTTTATAATTCCTAGTGAATTATGATTTCCAAAGTGGAGCCTAAAAATGAATCTTTTTTTGTTTTTTTGGTGGCGCTGGTGTTTGAATACTTGCTAGGCAAGCACTCTACCACTTGAGCCACTCACTCCGCCAACTCATTTTTGTGTTGAGTATTTTAGAGATAAGGTTTCACAAACTATTTGCCCAGGCTAGCACTGAACACCATGAAACTCCTGATCTCTGCCTCCAGAGCAGCTGGGATTACAGGTATGAGTCACAGGTGCCCAGCAAGTGCATGCCTTATCAGTGTTTTAGACAATGCCCACCAGCTTCACCCTGGTTCTGCTGTGTCTTTGTCTCCCAGAAGGCATTCAGACCTTGAGTCCAGGTGCCCTGCTGGCTGTGTCTCCTGCATGGGGCCAACTTTATCCCCATGTAGTGTCCCTTACTTCCTCTCTCCTGCCTATCTGCCAACCTACTGCTCTGGTCCTCTGTTCTTTCTTCTAGTTACTCCACCATCAGTCATCCCATTTTTTAAATCAGAAATCTGAGTGTCAGCCTCATTCCTCCCTCTTGCACATCCACTCGAATACCAAATCCATCCATTTGATCTCTCTCTTGTCTCTTGAATTTCTCCACTGCTGTGCCTCAGGGCCACAATTCAGGTGGCCCCCATCTTAGCTCAGACTATGGCAGCAGTTTCTGACTGATCACTCTGCTTTGAACTCCCCCTGCTCCCATTCTCTAATCCATCCCCCAGATAAACTTTCTCAGGCCCAAGTCTAGTCCTGCTTCTTCTATGCAAATGCCCTTGTTATTTTCAAGGTGAAATTTATTTAAATTTGTTGGCCTGAGACAAGGGTCTTCATTCCATTCTTCTACCTACCTTTCCATACCTTTCCTACCAATGCCATATCTATCTGTCTGTTTGCCTGTCTGTCAGTCATCTATCTCATCATATTCTGTCTCAAACCACAGCAAATTGAATTCATTCCTCCAATAATATTAGTATTATTTAAATATTTTTAGATCCTCCATGACTTCTTTGTGCATAATATATTCCCTTTGTGAATATATCATGAAGACCTCTAGCATAGCATAACATACATTCTCTCCCCCACCCTCTCCCTCTCTCCCTCTCCTCTCCCTGGTGCATCATTTCTCTGAGCTGTTAGGTTCCTCAGGATTCTCTTGGCCCTGTTTCTATGTATTTGTTTGTTTGTATGGTTGTATGCTACTTTTTTAAAAAGGTTTTTTGAACCCCTGAGTAAAGAATAAGCTTTTGGAGTCAGTTGCACTGTTTCTGTCATTATCTGTGACCTTGGAAAAATCATTTTACTTCTTTAAGTCTAATTTTTTCATCTATGAAAATGAAATTCTCTAACCTTCTGCCGTCATTGTGAAGATGGAATAAGATAATGTATGGCATGTAATAAGGGCTCAGAACCTGCTTCCTCCTTGCCTGGGTCTCAGCTTAATATCTTTGTCTCTGGAATGCCTTGAATTAATGGGACATTAATGGGCATTTTTAGAATTATAAAATTAATTTATGCTAATTGTGAATAACTAAGGCATTACATACTTTTATATATGTAAATTTTATGTAAGTCATCCCCAAAAATAATTGCTCCCAGTTTTCCTCTATGACAAATTCAATAAATATATTGATAGATGGGCATCAGTGACTTATGCCTGTAATCCTAACTACAGAGGATTGCAGTTCAAATTCAGCCTGGGCAAATAGTTCTCAAGACCTTATCTTGAAAATACCAAACTCAATAAGGGGCTGGTGGAGTGGCTCAAAGTGGTAGACCACCTGTCTAGCAAGTGTGAATTCAAGCCCCCAATGCTACCAAAAAAATTGATATTGTTAAAATTGAAACATATTATAATTCTGATTTACAGTTTGCTTTTTCATTTAACAATGCAACTTGAATGTTTTTGCATGTTATTCCTTTTAATGCCTTTAGAGTTTTCCACTATAAATAAGTACCATAATTGGTTTACCAAATTCTTATTGATGAATAGTTGGATTGTTCCTAACTTTTCACCATTATAAATAATAGTGCTGCAATTAATGTGCACAAAGACCTTGCAAAAATAGCACTCCCTTGGATAAATAAACTCGCTGGGGTTATGTAGGATTTCTGGAATAGAGAAATTACTTTAATCATCTTTATCCAACTATAACCTGCCCTAATAATGGATAGTTGGTAAGCAGATAAATTAAAAAAAAACTGGTGATGGGGGGGGGAGAGACAGGGTCTCTCAGTGTAGCTCAAGTTGGCCTTGAATTCTTCTCAGCCTCTCAAGTGCTGGGATTACAGATGTGCACAACCATGCTTGACTCAGCCATATCTTAATGATTTCTCTGCCTGCTCCTTTTTCTGTTTACTTTTTGGTGTTAGGGATTAAACCCAGGGCCTCACACACACATGTTGGTCATGCTCTCTACCACTGAGCTACATCCCCAGACCCCAATTTGTGTTTATTTCTCTATGTACTTTTATATACTAACAATGCAGTCATAGGTAGAATTTGGCCATAACACCGGGATTGTCTCATTCATTTTACTGGATTTGATCCTTAAACCATCTAAACCCCTCAAATCCCACCGAAGAGACTGCTTTACATTTGGTTCAAATTCTTAGCTTTACCAAGATTTATAGTCGCAAGCATTTCATAAGATCACTTCATAGTTGATCTAATTTACTTGTTTTGACAACTGAGATGAGCAGACGTGAACATCATCATCCCTGGACTCATCTCGCTGAGTGACAGCAACAGCACCAGTTATTCAAAGTACAGCCACTGTAATGCTTCTGACCATAGAATAAAACATACAGTAGGCTGTGCATCAAGCCACACACAAGACATGTGGCTTGAGCAGGGTGAGATGAAGTTTCATAATACCACTCTAGAAAATGCTCTTACTTTAGTTATTTTATACAACTCCTGGATATTTGGCCCAAGGGAAAACAGTTGTATTTCTTTAATTAGCAACTCCAGATTTAGAATCCTTGGTTTCTTAATCCCCTAAAAAAAAATTAACCTTCATCACAGATGTTTTAACGTTAGCAGAATAATGTTGACCTTACCCAAACAGATCTGGACCATACTGAATTTTCAAAGACCAAACACATTAACAGTGTGACATCGCTGAAAGTCAGCAATTCATAGCTCTAAAATTGAATGGTACCACACAGAGCTAGTTAATCAGAAATATCTCCTGTTTACGCTCTGTAAAACTCTGCTTTCACCAAGGTCTTTGTAAAGATTAACTAAGTAATGTCTACGGAAGATGCAACAGGTATTGTAGAAATCATTCCACTTTGACAAAAGGAAAGAAACAGACTCAGAAGTGAGGGACTTATATCTTGGATTCCCTCTGCCTTTTTCAAGCCATGTGAGCTTGGACATGTCATCAAACTTTGAAAAATACTTGCATCCTCAGCTGCAAAATAAGGTAACAATAGATGCCCTGTCATCTCACACACATTCATTCTTTAAATGAAGTCATGTGTAGAGCTAAACAATGTGGAGAATTATAATCACTATTATTACATCTGTTTGAAGTTAAGGAAGTATTCTTGAACTATAGTTCAATTTATAACTTATATAAGTGTTTGAAATGCCTGTTAGCAAAAATTCATCAGAAGGATGGAGACCATACCAAAAGCTTCATGGTAAATTTTATTCTTAATTGAGTCTTCTGATCATTGTGTCAAATAATAAATTAGTACTGTACTTCACTAAATGATTGGACTTCAGAAAGGAAAGCTGAATAAATTGCCACAGTTGTAAGCAAAGCTGCAGTGTTATACATACATCTACATACTCACTTCAGAGATTTATAGATTTCATCAGATTTTCAACAGTATGTGGTCACTCATGAAGTTTTGTCACTTGTGAAATTTCTTATTTGGCCAATGGGAGTTAGATTATAGGAGGGAAAAAAACCCAAAACCTTAATTAACAAAAAAAAGGGCTGAGCTATTATCTTTGTATTCTCTTATCAATCCAGGAAGACTCTGGTTTCAACCAAGTGGTCTGAGATCTCATGTGCCCCTAATGGAGATTACAGAGGACCAGATCAGTGTCCACCTGGGGACAGCCAGAGTGATGTAGAGTATACTCAGCTCTAATTCTGCCCTTTGTCTTCAGGCCTATGCTTTTTGTTGCCAATTCATTACCCACAGACACAAAAACAGGCACACTCAATATAGACCAGGATGATTTATCACTAATGAGGGTAAAGACTTTGCAACCGCAGCTTCCCTGGAAACCCGGGAACTGAATTTAACACAAAATCAATATTGATACCCTTAGCAACAGTCCACATGTAAAAGCAAGGAAACCAAATATCTATTTTTGAAAGAAAACTTGGAAGCATTACAGAATATATGTTGGCTTCTCTTTCTGTTTAGAGGATTAGATGACACCCATCCTACCAAGAAGATCTTATAAATGTCATGACTTCCTACAACTTGCCTGTAACTATAGTGCTACACACACTACTAAGCTGTCATGTTTTCCATTTTAGCTATGTCCAGCTACCTCTTTATCATTAAATACGAACTACCTGAAGTAATCAAAGCATTCATGGGACTTGAAGAAAATACTGGGTATGTCTTGTGTTCTTTCTGTGACATCAAATGGCTCATTCTGCTTGATCTTTTCTGATCTTGACATCTTCGTCTCTTTTCCACTTCTAGGGAATGGTACCTCAATGGCAACTACCTCGTCATATTTGTGTCTGTGGGAATTATTCTTCCACTTTCTCTTCTTAAAAATTTAGGTAAATCATTTTCTAACTGAAATTATGCTTATATTTATTTCATAATCTTATACATAAGCTGCTTGAAGATGCTATTTCACCCTCCAAACTATTTCTGCTAACCCATAGGTTACCTTGGTTACACCAGTGGATTTTCTCTCACCTGCATGGTGTTTTTTGTCAGTGTGGTAAGTGATTTGTTGACGTGATCCATGTAGATTGAGGAGCATGAGATGTTGTTAGAGTCTGAATTATTGTGCTCAGTTTTGTTCAAGGACTTCACTAGCATGAAATAGTTCTTGCACCACAAGCAATTTTACTCTATTCTCATTTGGAATGAGGAAAGAGCAGTCATGAGTTTAAAAATAGTTGAGTTAAATTCAAGTCTGATATGATTGATATATTGTAAGAAATTTTGTAAATGCCACAACGTATCCCTGGCACAACATGTATCTATATAAAAGAAAGGAAAAAGAAAATTTAGGAATCTGGAACAAGAAAAAATAAACATAAAATAAAGTAAAAATAGTTGAGTTAGAATGCCAAGATCATTGTAAATGGTATGTTCTAGGCACACTGAGCAAATATTTGGACAAAAGACCATAACAATAATCCAGTATTTAGGAAGGTGGAGGAAGAGGTGAAAAGGTCCAGAAGAGACATGAAAAGGCTATATTTATATGAGCAAGCTATTTTCTCTTTCACATTCTACACAACAGTATGAGAACAACCACAGTGGAATTAAAGAAGAAATTCTATCCCTAACAAAAAAGGGAGAAATTTCTTACAATACAAGAGATACAAAATTTATAAAGCATTTCCCCCAAAGAAGCAAAAGAAGAGGGAAATTTTGATGACCCATAGCCATTATCAGTTTGAAGATATAAAATATATGAAATGTAGCAAGGAAAGGATCATCTTTGTTATAAAGGGCAAGAAAGACTTAGGATGAATTCATGCAAAATACAGTCCTGTTGATTCTGAGAGGTCAACAATAGTTCCAGTTCTTTCCCTAAAAAGAGGCTATTGGGAGTCTCCATGGTCCATTAGGTGAAAGGATCCTCAGCTGAGTTCTCTCACTGCCACCCCACAAGCCACACATATGGATTTTCATTTCATTATTTTTCCTCAAAACCTTGACTTTTTTTTCCTTTTAAATGACTGGGTCTAGGTGATTTACAAAAAATTTCAAATACCCTGTCCTCTGCCTGTTCTGGATCATAATGTGGGAAATTTGACATTCAACAACACACTTCCGATGCACTTAATAATGCTACCCAACAACTCAGAGAGCACTGATGTGAACTTCATGATGGATTACACCCACCGCAGTCCTGCGGGGCTGGATGAGAACAAGGCCAAGGGCTCTCTTCAGGGCAGTGGAATAGAATATGAAGCCCATAGTGATGACAAGTGTGAACCCAAGTACTTTGTATTCAACTCCCGGGTAAGTGAGAGACCCAAGACTTTAATGAGCCCCAGTCATGTGGGTTCTGAGTTTTTATTTCCTAAGATGAGATGGCCTGGGACTGCCATCCATGTTGGAATGCTAAATATATGGTGTTGTCTTTGTTTTGCAGACGGCCTATGCAATTCCTATCCTAGCATTTGCTTTTGTATGCCACCCTGAGGTCCTTCCCATCTACAGTGAACTTAAAGAGTAAGACAGCCATCATTTTAGCATTCTAATTTCCTTTGAAAATGTGCTCATATGCTCAAAGATACTTTGTGAGGAAGCATGGTTTGTAGTATTCTCTTCAGAAAAAGTTTGTGCCACACCATTCATCAGTTATATGTTTGAACCAACAAGGTATGAATCAGTCCATACACCACACTGCCTTATCTGCTTCCTCTCCTCTCCCTCTGCTGTAATAGTTTCAGGAGAGAGTTCAGGGCAGATTGAGGAAGAGCCAATGGGTGTAATGATTTGGGCAGGTGTTAGGAATTTAAATTTGAATTTTGGTGGGAAGATACAATGCCACTGAGAATGGAAATGACTGTACCCATGAAGACTAAAACTTATAGTTAGGATGGCCTTACTAAACCACTGATGTCACCTGTGGTCAATTCACAACCCTTGTCTGGAAGACATTCACCATAACAGATATGCCAATATCCAGTCTTCATGTCTTATATGTACATTGGAGACATGGTTAGAGAATCTTGTTTCTTCTAGCAGGTGGTCTGTGATCTATTCACACTCTTTCTCCTTGAAGTTGTTGAAATTTACTTGGGTATGAGCCCACTCTAGCAACTTCCCTCTTTATTTTTAGGGAAGGTTGTCGTGTAATAATTATCAACTTCTTTAACCCAAACATCGATACCCCAGTCTTCATTTGTACTAACAATAATTTTCCTATAAATTCTAATTTACATCATAAAAATTTTTTGAACACTTTCAATTTTCATGTTTTTGATTTACTTTGAAAATCACATGTAGCAGTTACTCCACAAAACCTGACAACTGACCTCTAGATGGGTACCATCTAGAGCAGTTTCCAGAAGGTTCAACTGTAGGAACAATAATAGTGTACGGCTTCCTCATAATCTGAACTCTTGGCAGTAGTACTATAACTGATTCTAGAGGATTCCTTTACTTATTAAGCTCATCCGACCAGAAAATGCAAAAGGTTGCTACATCAGGAACCACTTTCATCTTTATGTTAATTACATTCTTAATTATTCAGTAGGCAAGCTTACTTACTGACATGAAACAGACTGTTCTACTGGGGAAATGGTTGTTTCTAAGACTGAAGGATTAGTGTTTAAGAAAAATGGAAGTAAATCCTCCTTGGCTCTCTAAGACAATTTAAATTAGTTATAGGTTTATGTACTGGAAATGTGGTTTTATAACGAGCAATATAGACATATATTCTTTCATTACTTTTTATCCTAATTTTAAAAAAACTTATTTTGATAAGTTAAAGAAATAAACTTCAGTGTTCTTTTTCTTTTCAGTCGATCCCGAAGGAAGATGCAAACAGTGTCCAATGTTTCTATCACAGGGATGCTTGTCATGTACATGCTTGCTGCCCTCTTTGGTTACCTAACCTTCTATGGTACGTCGCTCTGTCAAAGTCATTCTGTTTGTGAAAACCCTGGTTAGATTGGTGATTCACCAATAACTTTTTAATTTACTTTTATTTTTGTTACCATATTAATGTTGTACTGGAGGTTCATTATGACATTTACAAAAGTGCTTACAATATATATTAGTTAATTTCACCCCCTCCATCATTCTCCTTTTAATTAAGCAGCACGATCTATAAATGACACAGTTAGCATGCCATTTAGCTTTGCTCCTTGACCTAAGGAAATGAGTCCTAGACCAGCCTAGCTAACAGGTTACAAAGTTTTGTGAATTCATCTGTATTTTATTTTTTAAATCCCTCATTAAATTAGCCTTTCTTCTGGAATAGATGATTTTTTTTATTAGACTCCCTGGTCTATCTCAGGCTGGAAGAAATGAAAATGAATCCAGTCAGATGTGGTCCAGATTTTTAGATGGAGTAAGTAACCGCCAAGCAAATGGCAAAAGCAATTTACAAAAGTCCTCGAGTTCTAACCTGCTTCTTATTTAGCAGTCCAGTCACATCTGGGGGCTTGGAGCATTACGTAAAAATTCTGACTTGTCTTATTCTATTCTATTGCAGTGAATGGCTTCCTCAGAAAGAGAAGGACATATTTTTTTTTAAAAAGCTGCCTATGGCCACATTAGATTAGATTATGCATTAAATGTTTCTTCTCTGGCATCTTAATAGTACACAAAAGGAGGAGCACCTTCCATAAAGTGTGGCTCTATAGACAAATTACTGCGAGCCAAATACAAACCTGGTAGTGTCACTGACTAGTGACACTAGTCAGTGAATCAACATAAATATATTTTTGTATAAACCTCTCTAACTTTGGGTTGTTTTTTTCTGACTGACTTGAAAAATTAAATTGATTGCATGGCAAGTTGGGGAAGAATTGACTTAGGCATAGGCTGCCATTAGCTTAGGTTTGTTTTCTATTTGACTAATACTTGAGTGTTAACCAAGCACTTGCTCTGGATTGGGCATTAACTTCTTGCTGGTTGTGAGTTAAATGAAAATCAGGGTCAATAACCATTAAATTTTAATTTTACCCCTTTGTCTGATCTTGAGAGGAGTAGTGAGAAAATCCAGCTACAGATGACTCCCTAAATGTCTCCTTGTAATTTGGGTCTGGAATTCTGAATAAATGTGTTTTCAAAGAAGGAATCACCAATTTTAGAATATTCATTGGGAGACCCTTTAAAAATCACACTAATTTATCCTGATATGTCTCTCTACTGAGTTTCATAAGATAAACAAAAATTTTTAAAAAGCCCAAGAGTATGTGGTTCAGTGTTGAGATGATGTCATAATTGTTGAGTTTGAAAAGTAGTTATGTATCGTTAGTCCTAGAGTTTCCATCCTGGGTTTAGAAAAGCTGCATCGGGGCTGCTGAGCTGATGGGGGCAGAGGGTGGTGGGATGGGAGGGACAAGCTGGTGGAGCTTGGACCTTTCAGCCACTTCAACAAGAGAAACTTGCCTGGTTTGTGATGCTTCTCCATAGCAAAGATAGATTTAGGATGATGCAAATAAGCTTGAGAAGCGCCTTAGCAATTTTTTGTTAGTTTCTGGAACTTTGTAAGCTTCAGGATCCCTTTGTGCATTTGAACAAAAGTCATAGCTTAAAAGAAGAGAAGAGAGATGTCTGGATTCCCAGACCCAGATCTTTTCTACTGTCCTGTGTTACTTCCACAAAATGTTTCAATAAGTAACCAGTGTCGACTAGGCAACACCAGGTGGACTCATTCTCTTTCTTACTCTTGCAGGAGATGTTGAAGATGAATTGCTTCACGCTTATAGCAAAGTGTACACATTTGATACCCCTCTTCTTATGGTGCGCCTGGCAGTCCTGGTGGCAGTAACACTGACTGTGCCCATTGTCTTGTTCCCAGTAAGTACATAAAATTCTGATTAAAAAGTCCTTGCTGAATCCATAAATGAAGGCTGTATTCTGACTTGCTATGTATTTAATTGTAGTGTGACTTTGCAATTGTGGTGCCCAAGGATATTATTATTTTCACACAGCATTTTGGAGCCACTTAAAACCAGCCATTTCATATGTAGCTATAACAAGTATTTAGGTAGTATTTTTAAAGTGTGGGGGGAAAAATCATGAAAATTATTTTTAAATTCAAAGAACAGAGCTTAAGCTGCTGTCTTGTAGATTATTAAAAATGGGTTGGAATTCATATAACTTCTGAAACTAGAGAGCCAAAACCACTTTAACTTTCAGATCACATTGCCTTTCCACCACAGTGTGGAAGGTGTTTCAGATTTTTTCAGTGTCTTGTGCTGCTGTAATATTTGAATGTTACCTTACTGAATCAGATATCTAAAAGGCTAATAAGAATGGATTTGTATTAACAAAATTACATACTAGAACAAAATTTCTCAAAACTTGCTATGCTGTCCATCATATGTCTCTTTTACCTCTTCCCCCACCAAAACTGAGTTCTAGCAGACTCAGGCTGGTATCATCCTCTCCTTGGTGTTTGCCACGAGTGTCAGAATTTCCGGGGCTCACACAGCTGTGCTGTCTATGAGGATTTAGGTTTCTTAAGTTAAAACTACTGCCTATGGATAAACACAGGTCTTCACCTGCCCGCCAGCTCTGCCTCTTTCATAAGCACTGAATTTACTCACACAGTAACCAGCACTGTCGTGTACAGAATGATCCATACAGGACCTGGTGTATGAGGACCACTTTCATAACAGCCTTATGATCGCTTTAAATGTAGCTTGTGTGCTGAAATGTATTTTAGCACATTCCTTTTTCATGAGTGCATGAAATAAGACCCTTATTACTGTAGTGGCTAATAATTTCTTGCCTTTAAAAGTATTTCAAATGCCATACACACAGCTTTAGCCTAAAATCAGCTCTAGCTTGGATATGAAGCAGAACACCACTATAAACCAGAAAGTATACTATAGGATAAAATCTGGATAAATAGTTTCATTGGGAAAAGAATATTTGGAGTCCTTTTTTGTGGGTCAAGATCTTACTAACCACATTTTGGCACAACAGAAGCACTCTCGGAACTGTTAAATCAAAGCATTTTATGAAAGAAATCTGTTAAGTAATTTTGTATTGCTTTTCATAAGCCCTAAATAGGGTGTGTTTGAGCCATGGTCTCAAGAAATTGTTAGATACGACTATGGGTGCACAACTAGTGGGTAACAGTTGAACTAACACTGGTGGGTGACAACATTGATGGGTGCCATCATTGGAGTGGGAAGTAAAAGCTAGCCTTTTGTTTGTTGATGACAGCTTCAACTCAGCATTGAAGGTAAAAATCTCCCCTTAGAAATTCTTCCCCTGTGTAGGAAAGAAAGCTCTGGAATAGATTTGATCATTAGGCTTATCAATAATTTTTAAGCATGAAATACCATTAAAACCAATGTTGGCCATAAAAATAAATATTCAGAAAATAATGAAGTTATCCTTTATTATGTATTTTCACTCAACATTAGCAGTTATGAAACACTTTGCATATAAACTGTCTTTGCCCAGACCACATAACAGTGAAATTATCTGCATAAGGCCCCCCTGCTTGGGAGAGGGAGGGGGCGGAGTGGGTGGTAAGGGAGGGGGTGGGGGCAGGGGGGAAAAATGACCCAAGCCTTGTAAGCACATATGAATAATAAAATAAAATAAAAAAGAATAAATGCCTCAAAATCCAAAAAAAAAAAAAAAGGCCCCCTTCTTTCCCCACTGGTTACAAGTCTCTGGAAGCTGGAGATATGCCTGGTGACTGGCACAGAGGACGAGCTCAGTAACGTTGGCTGAGAATGGTCTTTAAGCGAATCTTGCTTTTTCTTGAGATGTATAAACTTCTTTTTCTGGCAAAAGCATAGACTGTTCGCTGGCTGTCATGTGCCATGACTCACTTTGTGGGGGAAACTGTGCTAAATGAATTAAATGGTTATGAATGTGACATGCATCCACCAGTGTGATGGTGGCAGATAACAGGTCCAACCTCCTTGTCCCAATCAGCCCTACAAGGCTAAATTCAGACAATTTTATAAAGTCATAGAAGTTGCTTGTGGTGTTTTTGTTTGTTTCTTAGAATTTAGAGTTATGGTTTTCAGTGTGTCAGATGCTAAAGCACACCATATTTTCCTGACAGTCTTCTTTGCATTAAGGAACACTTGACACTAGGAAGTTGATTTACCTACCTTGATATCACCACATACAAACAATAAAACAAATAACCTAGTCTGGGTTAAAATCTATCAGTGTGCCCCTTCTTTCAACACAAATGACAACTGGGTCCAAGAATACAGGATCCGGCTCTGTTTGCTTATTTTTCTTTTACTTCATTTATAATCTTTTTTCCAGTTGGGTTAGTTTTTTGTTTTCATTTTTTTTCTTTTTAGTACTAGACACATAGTAACTATATGTAATATTTGTTGAACAAATGCATGGATAAATGAAGTTAACTTTTCTCCAGCACCCCAATGCTTATGTCTTTAGTAGTGGGATGGGATGGGGGTCTATTATGGGAGTGTATCTCCTTCAAGAGGATTGATAATGACATTTCAACCTGTGCTTCTCTTTATGCCACAAAGTTCATGTATCACCATGAAAAGCAGAAAACCAAATAATCTTATGGTTTACTGTGAACACACAGACTCAAATTCTTTCAAAAAAAAAAAAGCTCACATCTCAGCTGGGCATGGTGGCTTACACCTATAATCCTAGCCACACAGGAAGCAGAGATAGGGAGGATTGTGGTTCAAGGACAGACTGGGCAAAAAGCTTGTGAGACCCCATCTTACCCAATAAAAAGCTGGGTGTGGTAGCAAGCACCTGTCATCTAAGCTACATGGGAACTATAAATGGGAGAATCACAGTTCAGATCAGCCCTGGGCATTTAGTGAGACCCTATCTCCAAAATAACTAAAGCAAGAAGAGCTGGGGTATGGTTCAAGTGGTAGAACACCTGCCTTGCAAGTGCAAGACTCTGAATTCAAGCCCTAATACCACTCCCCCCCCCCAAAAAAAGGGAAAAAAATCACATCTCAGATTTCCTAGTTAATTCTATTTCATCTTCTCTTAGTAAAATCCTTCTTCTCACTTATGTTGCCTTCAGATCTCTTGTCTTGAAGCGTACATAGATATAGGCATGGAAATGTGACACACATTGCCAGCAACTATAGTAGAGTAGGTGTTTTCAATGCCCTTGTCCTAAGCAATCCTACAAGTGAAAGGAGTTGTGTCTATGAGATAGGAGACTTTACTTATCTATCTGTCTAGCCATCATCTAGAGTACAGAGTTAGGCTCTCTCTTTCTACTCTGCCTCTGACATCTCTGACCTTCACCTTAGGTCTCCATATAAATTCTTAGCACCTCCTCACAGGCTGTGTTCAGGACACCCTCTCTGTAAATAACTGATGCATATAACATTCTAGAATCATTCCAGGTCAGGGGCCCTGGCTGGTGCTGGAAACTTCCTCTACCCACAGCATCTGACCCACATTTCTAGATTCTTATCAGTTTATGTCAGTGGAGAAAAGGGCATGTGGATAAATGGAAGAGCAGGCAGGGCTTTGAGGGTCAGAACGCAGAGCTGCCTCTGTTCTGCCCTGGGTAAACAGCACTGCAGATGTTTCCATCCATCCGTGCCTCCCTCCTCAGCAGCAACATCCTAACGGGCATGACCAGCAGGTTTCCTTTTGACTCCCACCACCATCAGCCTGCCTCCTGTTTGCTCTGTTGCCCTCTAGGAATGCACTGACAACTCTTCTTTTAGTTCATTTGGGATTTCCTTAACCCTTCCTCACTATGAGGAGGACGCTTTCACCATTTAATCCAACCATTCTACATATTATTGCTATAAATAAATGTTTGTCTGCTTATATCAGTAGGCCAAACCTTAGTCATTCTGGAAGTCAGAAAGACAGTCTTCACACTCATAGACCCTGTACGTGTAGAATGCCTGCACCTCAACTTACTGAATTGAATGCACCTTTTTTTTTCTTTTTTTTTATTGTTTTATTATTCATATGTGCATACAAGGCTTGGGTCATTTCTCCCCCCTGCCCCCACCCCCTCCCTTACCACCCCCTCCCCCCCTCCCCCCCATCCTCTCAATACCCAGCAGAAACTATTTTGCCCTTATCTCTAATTTTGTTGTAGAGACAGTATAAGCAATAATAGGAAGGAACAAGGGTTTTTGCTGGTTGAGATAAGGATAGCTATACAGGGAACTGACTCACATTAATTTCCTGTGCGTGGGTGTTACCTTCTAGGTTAATTCTTTTTGATCTCACCTTTTCTCTAGTTCCTGGTCCCCTTTTCCTATTGGCCTCAGTTGCTTTTAAGGTATCTGCTTTAGTTTCTCTGCGTTAAGGGCAACAAATGATAGCTAATTTTTTGGGTGTCTTACCTATCCTCACACCTCCCTTGTGTGCTCTCGCTTTTATCATGTGCTCAAAGTCCAATCCCCTTGTTGTGTTTGCCCTTGATCTAATGTCCACATATGAGGGAGAACATGCGATTTTTGGTCTTTTGGGCCAGGCTAACCTCACTCAGAATGATGCTCTCCAATTCCATCCATTTACCAGCGAATGATAACATTTTGTTCTTCTTCATGGCTGCATAGAATTCCATTGTGAATAGATACCACATTTTCTTAATCCATTCGTCAGTGGTGGGGCATCTTGGCTGTTTCCATAACTTGGCTATTGTGAATAGTGAATGCACCATTTTTAAACAAAGAACTAAAAAGCATACAAGTGTGACATAGATGTGCATAGAAAATGAATCTATATTCAACTTACTTATTCTGTGTTTAGTACTGTCAGGCAAGTCCTTAAGCTCTGTGTATGTATCATAGAAAGCATATTTTAAGCCTACTGATTAGGTCACTTTGGACAATATTGAACAAGCACTGATTGTAGGTCATACGTAGAATTTATAGGCTGCTGAGGAAAATAAAATCAAGCCATTTGCTTTCCTCTGTGTGTTTTGCAAAATGAGTTTCATAATTTTCACTAATTCAATTTTTAAAATCCTTTCCAAAAGTCATTCTTAAACCATTTGCAGGACTGTCTGGTTCGCCATTTCAGAAGTGAAATTCCCTTTCCAATCTAAACAGATGGCTTTAATTTTTGGTGGAATGGTATGAAGGGAATGTCACATGGAAAACTGCAAGCAATTTAGCTTGCAATTTTTGCTGTTCATACGTGTTTCAAATGTATTTCACATTTTCTCTCATTTAAATGCCTTCCCATCTCCACACCATTAAGAGACTTCAGAACTAAAAATGTTTAAGTGAAAATCAATCCCAGCATTTCTAACCATGTGAAGTCTAGGCTTAACTGAAGTGCTCGCTTACTGAAAAGCCAATAGAGCAAATTCCACTAAGTCAAAAAAGTGGCTTCTCGCAGTCTCCAAAGATAAGCATGTTCTCAACATTTTTAAGCTGTACAAACACAAATGCACCCCCACCCTCTGCCCACAGGGACCTCTTTAACCAGCCACACCACAGTAACTTGAGCACTGCTGCAAATGGAGCCTCTCTTGACCCTTTGCCTACTTATTTAGCTGCTCACACAGGGCTGAAATCTGTGAAGGACTCTGAAGGGAGGGAAAAGATTCTTCCTGTCAACTTAATTCAGCATTTACTGAGTGCCTGCTATGTGCAAGACACTAAGCTAGAAACTCTGAGCAGTGTTGAGATTATTAAATCCTATCCTTGCCTTTTTTTTTTTTTGTCTGAAAACTGTTTTTATTTTTTTTTTATTTTTTTTTCTTTTTCATTTTTCTTTTATTATTCATATGTGCATACAAGGCTTGGTTTATTTCTCCCCCCTGCCCCCACCCCCTCCCTTACCACCCACTCCACCCCCTCCCGCTCCCCCCTCAATACCCAGCAGAAACTATTTTGCCCTTATCTCTAATTTTGTTCTAGACTATCCTTGCCTTTTATGGACTTAAAATCTACCTAAGAGGGAGGTACAGGGAGAGACAGAGAAAGGAGTAAACACACACACACAAATACTATATTTTTAAAACATCATGTGGAAAGTGTTAAATAAAATGTAAAATTAGTCAGGTTTGTAAAAATTCCTTTCACAGTCGCATAAATCAGTTCAGTTTTGTCCTTAATCTTTAAGCCAGTCTCTTTAGACACACTTAGTCACCAACAGGGTCTCACTGTCTCTGAGATGTGTATCTTATCAGTTATTGTATCTCTTTCTGACTGAATTATTTTTAACAAAAAAATTCTGAAAACTGAGAAGGTGAACCTACACTATACTCCCAGAGAAAAATGACCCTGTCTTGGACATCAAAATTCGGCATGAAGATTGCCCAATAATATGAATGTACTTAGCACCACTGAACTTAAAAATGGTCAAGACAGTAAATTCCATGTTATGTGTGTTTTAGTGCAATAAAAAATTGGAAAAAAGCTTCAAGATTTTTTTCTGGGAGAAATGGAAAAAGGAAATGATGAGACTAAATTAAAAATAATAATAGCAAAAGTTAAATAAAAAAGAAGTGATTTTGCCATTCAACATCCTTGTTGCAGATTCGTACATCAGTGACTACACTGTTATTTCCCAAAAGACCTTTCAGCTGGATAAGACATTTTCTGATTGCGGCCATCATTATTGCACTTAATAATGTCCTGGTTATCCTTGTGCCAACTATAAAATACATCTTTGGATTCATAGGTAAGTTTTGAAAAGAGTTTCATTTAGTTAACACAGACTTATTCTTCCTTAATGGAGGCCAGGGAGCCAGTGCTAGGTAGTCAGATCCCCAGTCCATCCCAGTCTCATGGGAATCTCCTTGGCCCTGCTGGGTTCCAGCAACTGCACTGGTCACTTTCCCTCCCTCCCAAGTGACACTGGGAGATACCTTATAGTCATTTAATCCACCTGCTTTTTCTGACAGATGAGGAAACTGAGCTTCAAAGAAGTTAAGTCCTATACCTTGGGGTAGACCCAGAATTTGGTCATAACTCTGTCATCAAGGAAGAAGTCAGGAAGATAGATATTTACATACCAGAAACTGTCTCCGTCTGTGGGTATCAGCTGAGCATTAAAGGGTATCCTCTGAAGAATAGGAGGTTGACTTTTTAGATCGTATCATTTCCCTTAACTACGTGGTTTAATAATACATATATTTTTTTCTACCTATAGAGGGTTTGCTCAAATCTTATTTATTTATTTATTTATTTATTTTTGTGATGCTGGGGATCAAACCCAGTGCCTTGTGCATGCTAGGCAAGCACTCTACCACTGAGCTACACCCCCAACCTTCAAATTTTAAAGTAGTATGGAACTTTTAAGAGAATCAGGTGTAGGTGAACTTGAAAAGGAAAAGGTGGATGAAGCATATGTGGCGAGTTCAGCCTTCTTAGTATGTACTTATTTTACTAATCTTCAATAAGTTTGTGTTGTATTTAGCCTTTTGTTGCTTATATTATGTATACTTCTGCAGCTATGATATTAGGTATATTTTAATTTTCTTTACAAACATGCTTCGTATGGATAGGCAACCAGATTAGCTCGTGTGATTTAAATGTGTGCTTTTAGTGGCAAGAACGGGAGAGTGCCATTTGACTTTTCTAAGGTGTGTGCTCTGAAGGGTCTGCTTTTCATTGAAGAGCTACCATGCAAGACATTGATCTACCCTGTGTGTCTCTCCCCAGGGGCTTCTTCTGCCACTATGCTGATTTTCATTCTTCCAGCAGCCTTTTATCTCAGACTTGTCAAAAAAGAACCTCTCAGATCACCCCAAAAGGTTGGGGTAAGTAAGACTTGCAATGTCTCCCCAAAAACAGTAGATCTTCAAGTACTTAAGAGTAACCAGAAAATATACATGGCCCAGAGAAGTGAAACAATGAACAAGAACCAACAGTCAAAGGTGAGCTGGAAGTCTAAAAGAGTGCAGGCTGCTGGAGTGCAGGGGAAAAGGTGCCGGCTGCAGCTTCACTACCCTTGTGAAATTACCAAGAAGGAATTAAGCTTCTTACCAGAGTCACTGAATCATGTAAACATTTTGGTCATATTTGTTAGGTTTGCAAGAACAAACAGTTGTTCTTGCCCTCTACCATACCCCATTGTCCCCTAGATTGGACTGAGATAAAAAACAGAACCATTTGCTTACCAGTTAACCTCTTTGTGATACATTTATATCACATTTGTATGCATTTGTACCATCTGATTAAACTAGGCAGTGCATATTTCTTTTCCATAGTACTACCAAAACATATATTGGAAATAATTGTTTTTATGATAGTTAAATATTATCAGTGACTGTTTAAGAAGGGCTTTCATTAAGGTTTTGAAAGAATGTGTCTTACTCGACTACTCTCCATTTTTGCCTTGAAGATATCTACTTCTTGGGAAGAGACTTTAGGACTACTTGGTATCAAAAGCTCCTCCCACCATCTCACCCCAAATTTTAACTCTTTGTACCCTGTCTTTGTGATTTTCTACAGTAGTGTGTCCTGGGCAAGTTACTTATCTACTTGGTACCCATTTTCAGTTTGACCAGCTGTAAAAATGAGTAAAATTATCTCCTAAAAGAATTCCGTCTGGTGCTTTCTAATATACAGAATTAGGAGGTTGATCTGAATGGAACATTTAAGGTTTCTTCTAGTGTTAAAATTCTGAATTACTGTGTATATATATATCTATATGTGTGTGTGTATGTGTTATAAATATTCATACATACAAAGATATATATATATATATGTATCTTTTGTCTTTGTTCGGAAATATGCAACATATATTGTGCTTTCTTTTTTGTTTTATAAAATTGGAACCATATACATATTATTATTTTATGACTAACTCTTTTTCACCCAAGAGATTGTAAGCGTTCCCCACCTCATTAAATCTTTTTTCTATCTCTTAATTTTTGTGATCGCAAGGTATAATTTTGATATACCAAATTGATTCACTATTACTCAGTTGTTGAAGCTTTAAGTTATATTTCTCCACTGAATTTCCCCCTTTTCCCAACTAAGATTCCAAATTGATTTGTTGAGCATCTGAGTTATAAGAATGTTACGACTCAGCATACAAATCAACTTAAACCCAACTGTGCTAAGTGTGATGTCTGTGTTCTCTGATGAGTTCTCTCTGAATTGCAGGCTTTGATCTTCCTTGTGACTGGAATTATCTTCATGATGGGAAGCATGGCACTCATCATAATTGACTGGATTTTCGATCCCCCAAATGCCAAGCATCACTAATCTACGGGAGAAGCGCTTTCTTTTTTCTATTGGACATGATTGCAAGTTGTGCTCCAAAAGACATTTGAGTTACCTTGATTGGAATGTTATTCATAGGAAATAACAGGAAGATTCCAAAGACTTTTACTATTAAATATCCCCCAGACACCTGCAAAAGAGAGAATTAGGGCTCTTGTCAAGAATGGCTGCTGATGTGTTTAAAATCTGTGCACATTTCTACCCAGGTTTTCCTAGAATTATGAGATGACCAGGGTGCACTTTGCCACTGGTCCAGCAGCATCAAAGTAGCTGCCTGTAATGGTCATTAGATAATAGCCTTTCTCCCTGCCTGCTCCCCCACCTTCATTAATCCAAAAGGTAAAAAATAGTTGTATCCTCAGAACATCAAATAACAATGTCCTGGTGGCAAAGCTATCACCACTTAATGCCCTCCCCCATCTTGTATCAAATACTGTGGTCTCTTGAGTAAGGGGAGATAGCAAAATGCTTGTCTTGTGACTATCCTTGTGAAGTATCAGTGATCAGATGCCAGTGTATAGCACTTAATACCAACACTAAAAGAGTAGCTTGCCCATCCTTCTTGTGACATGGAGTTAGTGAATTCTTTATTCAATCGGTTTTTTGGTAAATGTTAAAACATCTTCCTAAATATAGAGAGGGGCTTTATTTAAATTATAGAGCAACAATAAAAGTAATACTTCTAGCTGAAATGCCTGCTGAGGAAGCATCTGCTTTTCAGTGCTTTTCCTGGTCCTCTGTCACGCATTTGTCTTTGAACAAGGCTTTCCCTCTCGTCTTCCATTCTCATTCAGAATTTCCAGAAGACCACAGTTCATGTGGAGATACACTTCCCAGTATTGTTTGATACATTTTTATTTGATAAACATTCAGTGCAGGAAACTGTGATTTGCTACATGTTTATGTATATAATCTTATTCTGTAGTCATCAGAATGTTAATGTATGGTACATTTGATTTTTTATTTTTACGTATATAGTTTTCTTTCTTCACAGCTCAAACATTTATATTAGTGGGGGTGGGGCAGGGAAGTGAGTTGGTGGGTTCCAAATCCATTTGTATGTATCTGTCTACTGGGGATAGTTTAAATTTGAAACCTAAGTTATATATAGTTCAGTAATGCTCTCCTTCAATGTTTACAATAATCATCTACAAGAAAATAAGAAAGAAGTAAGTTCCTTATAAGTGAAAATTATCAATGCTAAGGTTATTCTTTTAATTTAGCATGACTAAAATAGGATTTGGTTCATTTTAGCCTGCCTAAGTGTTTGCTGACATTCATGTGTCTTATAATGCAATTTTGAGTGATTCTCCATAGAAATAAAAGTGCTAACACCATAAAGAAATGCAAACTACGTTCTTCCTCACTTCCAAACATACTTACATGGAATGGACTCAATAGTTACTACTCACTGCCTAGAGTTTTTGGAGTTCACTAATCATTTTTCAAATCAGTAGCAAGAATATTTGTTGTGTAGCAGTAATGATACATAAGTATCAAAAAATATGGTCATACTAAACAATATTTTTATAGTTCTTATGGAGTGTGCCTATGAAAATACATATTTGTTTTATGTATTTTTTCCAGAGGCTTAATGCTATAAAATAGTGTAATCTGTTATGGAAACTGAGCATTACTAGAAACTATCATAACTTTTAAATTACTAAGCATTTGGGAAAAATGCTCCATAGCATCTTTAAAATATGTTTTCATCTTCATTCATCTAAACAATAATCAAAATAGAAAGTGGAAAAGGTATTTTTTAAATGCTAAAAGTAACCAGGCACTCTTGGCTACTCAGAAGGCAGAGATCAGGAGGATTGGGTTTGAAGCCAGCCTGGCAAATAGTTCACAAGACCCTGTCTCGAAAAAACCTTCACAAAAATAGGGCTGGTGGAGTGACTCAAGGTGAAGGCCTGAGTTCAACCCCAGTACCACAAAAATAAATAAATAAATGCTAAAAATGTATAATCTGAACATATTTAAATGTAAATATTACAGATTAATCCGACAATATTGAAAAACTGTAAAATCTGTGTGTATGTATATATATATATACTTTGAATATTTTACATTTATAATGGCTAACTTGAAAATAGCAACATGTTTAATTATATAAATGTTCAAGAGCAATACTAGAGTGCCAAATAATAAAGCACCATTTTTTCTCCTGGCCATTTGCAGGATAGGAGTTCACACATACTGCAGGACAGACAGACATATGGTATCTTGTGCTGGTTAATTTAACCCCATTTGTAAACAGATAAAAATTTTATTTTCATATTTCATTTATAAGATGGTTCAATGTATTGGGAGGCTTTTTTATTACAGAAAGTGTATATTGGTATATAATAAATGAACTTTTTAGATGACCATGATGTGATTTTCCTTCCATTGTCAAAGAAGGCTGTGAGTTATTTGCACATGAAACAAATTTAAAGTCTGAATACCATCTCTCTTACATTGGTATAGGTTGCATTTTCATTGTACACATGCACAAAAGCAGGACTCCCCCAGCCCCTGTACACAGACACTTAGATGCCCTTACTACACATACACCCTTATATATTCTTACTGCTGCTGTAACAAATGGCCACTTAGTGGTGTAAAAGAACACAAGTCACTTAAAGCCAAATGTGGTAGAGCACTTCCGTAATCTTAGCACTTGGGAGGCAGATGCCAGCCTAGCCTACATAATGAGACTTTGTCTCAAAAAAAAAAAAAAAAAAGAATATAAATCATTTTATTATCCTACAATTCTGGAAGTCAGAAATCCTAAAGTCAAGGTGTGGTAGGGCTGCGTCCCTTCTGGAAACTTTAAGGGAGAATCTGTTCCCTTGCCTTTTCCAGCTGCTAGAGGACAACTAAATAAATCCCTTGGCCCATAGCCTCTTCCTCCACCCTCAGTTAACAGTATAGCACCTTCAAATTCAAATCCCTTTGTCACCATCTCATGGACTCTCTGTGTCTGATTGTCTGTCTGTCTCATGCTTCTTTTTCCATCATTATACTCCTCTCTCTCTCTGCCTTTCTTCCTCCCTCTTACTTTTTAAAGGATTTTTATGATTCAAGGGGCCCACTCCAATAACACATAATAATATTGCTCTTGAAAACATCCCTAATCACGTCTGTGAAGTCCCCCGGCAAGGCTATATATTCACAGACCCAAGGACTGGACCATGAACATCCATGGTGGGCCATCATTCTGTACACACATGCCCGTACAGCACAAGCACATCCTATACCCCATTACATGTTCACATTCACCTGTGAACATACCACATGCACGCACATTATCTCAGAGGCACTGGGTGCCACTGAAATACAAGAAGAAGGAAACTGAGATCAAAAGTAAAGTTTAGAAAGACTTCTGTAGCACTGACTGGAAAGTGGGATGGGAGAGAGCTAAGATAAAGAAGAAACCCACTGACACCTGTAGGCCACCAAGTGTAATAAAAGAGATTATTCTCATTGATACCTTCATCCTACCCTAAACTAGAAAAGTGGTTTTGCCCAGGAATTTTCCAAAGACATAGATTTCTCTAGGCTGTTTTACAGTTGATGTTGTACATGTATATTTAAAAAATTATTTAAAAAAATTAATTAAACTGAAGAAAGGAACATAAACTGACTAATATAATAACATAATTCTTAGCACTTTTTCACATTTCAACATCTTAGAAATTGAAAGGCATCTTATAGTGACTTTTGGCAAATGACGCGTATGATACAACCATCACTATTGGCTCCAAATGTGTATCAAAATGTGCTGAATGATTAGCAATTAAAAGAAATTCCCAGGGAAAATAGTGGTGCTTTTATTAAGCTCTTCTTCATCACCAAGAGTTTACAACAAAAAGGAGATATTCTGTTGAGAACTACCAACATTTATGATTCTTAGGCAAAAATAAAAAATTCACTCATCTGAAAAATTGTATTAACACCTTAACCAATTTATTTATGTTTTTATATAAGCACAAAAGTTTTTTAATTAAAACCTACATAATTCTAAAAAAAACTTCCTTTAGTAATTTAAAATAAAAATTCTAAACACAAAAAGCATCGCAGCCTGGTGTGAGAAGCATACCTCTGTCCCCTGCAAGCAACCAGAGAAGCCCCCATGGGCTCCCCATTGCTCCTCCAATGAATGCCTGTGGAGCAAGTGGACACAACTATCAGGAAGGACTCAGCCACTGCCCTGAAAGTTGGTACCAGTGAGCCTGAGACTCCCCTCCTCCGGCCAGACACACGGGGCAGGTGGGATTAGCCTTCAGGGAGATCCTGTCATAACAAGCTCTCAGAAATGAAAAGTTCTTTTTTTGTTCCTGCAGGCTGGGGATGTCCTTCCCCCACTAAGACACCTGCAGCCTGGCTTACAGAAAACATTTCTGTATCCTCAGGCAGCACCAGCAGGGATCAGTGGAAGCCCCAGCAGAATCATATAAACCAAGCAGAGCAATTAATACAACAAAGGGTCTTAAAATTGAGCTGTAATTATTAGAGCTCACAAAGTAAGCAAAGTGCTAGGTGTCAAGTCTAACACAGTGACTGTTTCCTACATAAAGGATCTAAATAGACATACTAGACAAAATCTTCAGAATATAAGTGAAAAGCACTCATCATATGCAGAACCAGTAAAAGTACAACTTGAATGAAAACAGACAGGTGATGCTAACACTACAGTGAATCACATGTTGATATTGTCAGACAAGGATTTTAAAGTAGACATCCTAAAAATGATCCAACAATTAATCACAAATTCTCTTGAAAAATTGAAAAATTAGAGCATTCCAGCAAAGAAAGCTATCTTAAAAAACCCAAATAGAAATTATAGACTTGATAAATATAATAACAGTAATTAAAGAAAACTCGTTGGATGTACTTAATAGTGGGTGGAAAAGGAAGACAAAAATCAATGGACTCAAACAAATGTTAGTAGAGTTCACTCAATCTGAATAGTAAGCAGAAAGAGACCGAAAGCAATGAAAACAAAACAAGCAAATAAACTTTCCCCCAAATACAGGGCTGTGTACCTGTGGGGCAAAAATAAAAAATAAAACATTCAACATTTGTATTTTACATTGACAAAACAAGAGAAAGAGATTGAAACTGAAAGACAATTTGAGGGAAAAAAATGGCTTAAAACTCTGCAAATTTGGCAAAAGATACAAAGCTACATATATCAAAAGCTGACTGAATCCAAACTAGTATAAACCCAAACAAATTTCGGCTAAGAAAGACAAACCTCCAGAAACAAAAGACAAGAAACAGTCTTGAAGACAGCCTGAGGGAAACAGCACATCACTCACAGGGAGCACTAATCAAACGCCAGAGGGTAAAGTGCTTGCCTAGCATGTGCCCTGGGTTTGATCCCCGGTACTGTGAAAAAAAATTACAACATCATTTGGTCAAGACAAAGTTGTTTTTTTTTTTTTAATGGGGAAGGTGAAGTTTCTAGAAGTGATGTTTCCATATTTCACTCTAAGGGGTTAAATGTTGATACCATGTAACGTTATACCCAGAAAACCACTATAGCAACGATGAAAAGGGATTCATTCAACAACACTGTAAATAAATCAAGAGGAACTTACAAAACTATGTTTAAGAAATCCACTAGATCCAAGAAAATAAAAACAAAGGAACAAAGACCAAGGGAAAAAATAATTTAAAAGACAGACTTATGTGCTAGCATATCAATAATTGCTTTATTAGTAAGTATGGTTTAAATATACCAATTGACAGAGATTGGAAGAATGAATAAAAACCTTGACTTAACTTTGTGCTGTTTGTAAGAAACTTACTTCAAATTTAATGACCTAGGTCTAATGAAAGCAAAAGGATAGAAAAGGCTATACACATAGAAATTTATAATG